TAGCGATGGTGGTGGCGATGATGACGATGACGATTGCAATGCCAATGGCGACGCCGATGTTGGTGACGACGCTGACGATGATGATGCCCATGCGTCGGTGATGACGGTAGTTGACGGATGATGGCGGCAAAGGCGGCCATTGACGATGACGAGCCTTGCGGTAATGCGGCGGCGCTGCTGAGGGTGATGGTGACGGCGAGCGCGCACGCGGAAATGTAAGACACCCAGCGAACCCTCTGTTGGAAAACAGTTGGTTTTCCATTTGTAGTGTGAAAGATACGAGTGTGCGCACTGGGCTCACGCTGGATCCACGCGGACGCAGTGCGTGGTGAGATGAGAATGCGGAGTGTTCGAATCATATGTTCCCAACCACCCTTTGGGTGATAAGGAGGTTGGGGGTGACAGAGACAGCTGGCAAATGCGATGGGTTTGATGGCCGTCGAGTCAGCGACGACGCGTGATGACGATGTTGCGTTGTCGTGTGATGTCGTTATCGCCTCCGCTTTCTATACCACAACCATTGCACAACCAACATCGCTGCCGATCTCACTTCTGACATCATTCTTCATCCCACTTGAGCGATCCAATTCTCCATCCTACTATCGACTTCACTATCGATACCAAGGCGGGCACTCTTGGCCACCGCCCGCCCACTGCCGACGGGACACCAAGGGATACCAACCAGACACCAACGGAACACCACGTCGGGACACCCTGGGCCACCGCGCGCTCACCGGGGGGCGGAAGGACGGTCCACTGCATCCGAATCGCCCTAGCGGCGGCGGGGCCATTACTCTTGCGCGCCTGCGCAGCTTCTCGTCGCCCGCACGCGCGGCACGAAACCGAAACCGATTTCCCGGTGGGGGGGCCCGTTCCACTGCGGTCTCCCCCCCGACCTCCGATGTTTTTTTTGATTTTATCAAATGCGCGGGGGCTGAACACCAAATGATTGCTGAACAACCGAATGGGTGTTTATTATTCGATGTTGAATTGTTCGCATAAGTGGTGCGTTTGGTATGACGTGTGCGCGCGTGTGGATTTTGTGTGTCGTTTCTCGGAAAAAGGACTAGTGGCGCATTATCTGTTGAGACAAACGGATGTGTACGTACTTTATGATTTGGCGAGGACGCGTGGGGCCAACACCGACCTGACCAGTATGTTCTGCTTTCTATGGAACATTTAAATGGTATTGTCCCCAGGTGCACCGATAACCCCAGGATGGGAGGGTGGTGGAGTCAATCTTTCGTTTGGAAGAAGTCAAGGTCGGAAAAAATCACCCGGACCCGACAATTGGCGTTCACTAGCGGGTTGTCGGCGATTGCTAAAAAGCCCTGCCTGGTTCGATTCCTTCTTAGAGTGCGTTCACAAAGCGGCCTTGCTTGTCGGGTCAGAGGTGTTAATGTTAGGTCGGGCCTGTCCCCCTACAGGCGGATTTTGGGCGAAAAATTCAAAAGCCCCAAAATATCCCAAAATGTGCAAGACTAGTCAAAAAATCGCCCCCTGACTATTTTTGGATTCATTTTGAATGTTCTTCCTGTAGAGGGACAGGCCCGACTTAATTCTCATATGCAATCTGTGTGGTGTTGGCTGTGCGATGCAAGCCCTGCGGGCGGTGCCCATGCGGCGCCCGCGGGCGGCCTGCCCACGGGCCGCCCACGGGCCGCCCACGGGCGGCAGAAGCTCCTGGCACGAGGCGAAACCTCGGCGCACCCACCCAGCGCACGCGGCGCCCACGAGGCGCCCACCGTCCGCAATCGGCCGGGCATCGGGCGGAGCCTCAGTGCGCACACTCGTCCCACTGCTTTGCGCAGGGGTGCGAAGTCGTGTGCCCCAGTGGCCGCGCACTGCGGGGAGAGCTGCCCAAAAGTGCCAAGCGAAGCGCCTGGCCAGGCCTACGGGCACGTCGCGACACGGGGGCGCTGTTCCCGTAGAGTGAGAACGGACGGAGGAGGAGGAGGAGGAGGAGGAGGAGGAGGAGGAGGAGGAGGAGGAGGAGGAGGAGGAGGAGGAGGAGGCGGCAATGAAGTGTCAAGCTAGACGCCCAGCCCAGCCTACGGACACGTCTGGTGGCGCCACAACGGGGAGTCATTTGCGTATAGAGTAGACGGAAGAGGAGGAGGAGGAGGAGGAGGAGGAGGAGGAGGAGGAGGAGGAGGAGGAGGAGGAGGAGTTGGAAGGGGAGGAGAAGATTGAATCAGACGCTGCGCTGCGCTGCGCGCGAGTTTTACTCCTGCTCCCGCTGCTCCCCCTCGTGCTCTGGAGAAGCCTTCCAGGATCATGGGGCTCCACCACAAGGCCATGGATGAACCAGGGCTTGCAGCCTCCCTGGGGGATCCCCTAAATGGATGACAGAAGTTTGGGATCCCCGAAGAAGCAGCCCATCCTAGAAAGGGGAGGAGGAGGAGGAGGAGCAGGAGGAGCAAGAGGGGGAGGAAGACCTGCCCCGTCGAGCGAGCTGGCGCGCAGCCGATGGCCCGTTGGCTCGCCCCCCCCCCCCCCTCCCGACAGGAACGCGTGGCGGCGCTCCCGCCGCGCATGCAGGCGGGCGGGGCGGGGCCGAGCCCAGACCTCCCCTCGACGCGACAGGAAACATGCTGTCAGGTTTTGTCAGGCGATCGCAGACATGGATCAAGAGATTAGGAGGAGGAAGGAGGAGGAGGAGGAGGAGGAGGAGGAGGAGGAAGAGGAGACGGATGAGGAAAAGGAGGAGGGAGAGGAGGAGGAGGAGGAGAGGAGGAGAGAGGAGGAGGGAGGAGGAGGAGAAGGGGGAGGAGGAGGAGAATGACGAGGAGGAGGAGGAGGTGGGGGAGGAGGAGGAGGAGGAGGGAGGAGGAGGAGGAGGAGGGAGGAGGAGGAGGGGGTCAGGGGGAGGGGGAGGGGGAGGGTAGATGTGGTGGGTGGCAATTGGTGCCTGGAATGGCAGGTGGTGGCACGAATGCCTTGAGATGGAGGTACGGGTCCCCCCCCCCTACGGCCGTCTTCGTTGGCCGAGGGACCGTAGGGGGCTCCTCGGCCCCCTCCGGTGCCTATTGACGGCAAAATGGAAGGTTGATTGGTGGGAGCGGGAACCCTCGCAACCCCATTGATGGAAGCTGCGAGGGGTGTGAGGCCTAATGACGGTCCTCACCGACGAGGCCTAATGACGGTCCTCGCCGAGGGGAGGGGCGAGAGGGAGGGGGGCCACTCCGAGTGTCGATGCCGCCCGCGATGCCTCTCACTCCTGAGGCGGGATTCCTGCAAATGGGGGCCCACAAACCAGCATACACAGCTTCGACTCCGAGACTGTGTATACGCCACGCCCCCCGGAACCTCCAGGACTAATTTTTCACTACGTCGACGGACCAGTTTCTTGTCGGTCCCCCGGCGTTGCGTTTCAGCATCCGTTGGTGGCAAACCCAGAGGAGCCCGACGCAACGAAATTGTCACGAAATTCGGCTCCCGAATACGCCGCAACCAAAATGCACGTCAGGACCGGTACACCGAAAATCATGTCCCCGGCAGCCTCTCCGGGGACATCAATCGGCGCCCTAGGCAGAATCGGGTTGTGTTTCATCCAACCACCAAGTCGATCGATCGGCGTACCCCCTTGAATTCCCGATGCAACGGGAAAGGCCTGAGCGGGCAGCGGCAGACAACACCTAGGGAGGAGGGAGGCGCAAGGAGGAGGAGGGGGAGGAGAGCGGCGGTACGGGCGCCCAGGCATATGTTTTGACGGGGGGGACCCCGCCAATAAGTCACACCGCAAAACAAGCCTGCGCTCCGCACCCGGAACGACAGGGGCAGGGGGGGGGGAAGGAGGAGGGAGGAGGGGGAGTGGGGAGATCAGGCAGAACGAGCCTCCCATTGCTCGCATGCCTTCGTGACCCATGGCCTGGGGGCGCTCACCTGGCTCTGCGTGGCCCACCGCTTTACGACAGCCTCTGGGAACTCCGCCGCCGTGATGAGGAGCGTGAGCAGCTCGGCGAGCGCGGCCGCCTTCGCGTCCAGGGGGTACGTGAAGGCGTCGGTCCGCGCGATGAGGCCGAGGACGATGGCTCTCTTGGTGGCGTTCGGAACGAAACTGCGGAAGTGCATGTACGGTGGGTATTGGAAGTCGTCTGAGTAGGACCCGAGATCGAGGGACGCCGGCCGTACCGAGACTCTCCCACATGAATCGAGGGAAAGCCGCATGCCCGTGATGGCATCGCCGCCGTCTGTCTCGCTCGGGAGCGGGTAGCGTAAAGACGGCCAGGAAGCAATGTGATCCGCTACGCGACGGAGAGACGCAGGTGGCGTGTCCACCGAGGCCTTCCATAGGCATATGTAGTCGTCCATGTACCGGGACTCGAGGATGAGGATGCGGACGCCCTCGACGACGTAATACCGGACTCTGGAGCGAGCAGGCGGCGGGAGGCCGCGCCCACTGTAGAGGGAGGCGTGGAACACGACGTCGCAGTAGATAAGCACCATACGGGTGAGGGCTCCGGCCAGAGAGCTGCCCATTGCGAGTCCGTCGGTGGCTCGACCGACGAGCGTGCCCACCGCGAGCCAGAGGTTCGCGAGGCTGTGCTCGATGGCAGCGGTGAGGTCCGCTGGCCGGAAGACCACGTGGAGGGGCGAAGCCCTGGGCGGCTCGAGCGGCAGGGTTCGTGCGGATCCGCGCCGGCGCGGGGCGGCGATGGCCGAAATGTCCCGTGCAGCCAGGACCTCCTGGTAGAAGGCCCAAGCCCGGCGTTCAAGGCAGTGTGGGATGTTCGTGAAGCAGTCGGTGAGGTCGGTCCCGTACTTCTGCACGGGCCCACGGGGGGCCAGTTCGCTGAAGCGCTCGAGCAACGGCAGCAGCGAGTCGGTGCGCTGCGCGTCGATGTGGAGGTGCTCAGGGATGCCTGCGCCGCTGATCCAATCGATTGCTCGTGCTGCTGGCGACTCGAGGCCCTGTGTCGGCCAGCGCGAACGGTCCACGAGCGGTCGTCGGCTGTCTGGTTTTTCTCGTTTCTTGTTTGGGGCCGACGCCGACGCCATGCGCCAATGGCGAGGGTTAGACAGGCGAGCGGGTTGAAGATCGGCCCCGAGGCCAGGGACGGAGGCCACCTGCTGGAGTACGGCTTCGGCTGTCAAGCCCGGGTGGTACACGAAGTGCGGGCTCTGCCCCGTGATGCCGAACAGGGCCGCGCAGAGCAACTGCACTCGGCGGGGACACTCAGCTACGAGCACGTGCTTGGTATTCTGAAATTCTTCGACGACGAGGCCGCGTGTGGGTGACCGGCCAGCGCGAATGACCGACTCCGGTACGGGGTGGAAGTCCAACGGGAGGTGCGGCGCGTCGAAGTCGAAGGCAATGCTGGATACCACGTCGTGGACGCAGCAGTCGGTGAAGGCCGCCGAACAGTCGAGCCGTAGCGCAGCCACGAGGCGCCAGAGCAGGCGGCGGCATGCGGCAGTGTACCGCGCCTGGGATGGCACGAGTGCTGCGTGCGCTGGCAGGGTGCGCAGGTGCGAGAGGTGAGCGGGCCAGGGCCATGTGTCCTGCGGGGCGAATATGTGGCACTCGCCGTCAGGGGACGGGTAGCGGGGGGGGTCCGGATGCAGGTGGCGCGCGCACGGCCATGGCCCACTATCGCCAAAACGGCGATAGAAGCTGGGGGCATTACGCAAGCCGGCCCGGAGCGCAATGACGGCCACTGGCGCAAGCATGACCTTGAGGTCGCGAATGGCCGGCAGCAGCAAGGTCTGGCCACGTTCCCGGGCATGTTGGATGAGGCGGTGGATGATGCCCTGGAACGCGCGTTTGGTGCCAGAGCGCGGCAGCCATTGGAGAGCGCCCTGCACGTGGAGGCGCGGCGGGGGCCAGCGACGGAAGCGGCGAACGGACTCGAGGGCCTTGAGCCCGATGGCGCGGGTGGTGCCCTCATGCCGCTTGTGGACGCGGTGCCAGACTGCGTGCCGCTCCTCTGCCGTAAGCCGGTACAAATCAGCGGCCAGGGCGGACGTCGTCACCCGCCAAGGTGTTGCATGCGATGTGGGCCCAGCGAGTGATTGGCGTGGATGGTGGGCCGGACAAGGCGAGGAGGCATGCCGACGCGGATGGTTCGCGCGAGGTCATGGCCTGTCCGCGCCGACGGGACTGGGAGATCCTCGCCGGTGGTGTCGGGGCCGCAGCCGTGAGGCACAACCTTCCGCGGGCCGGGTGGGGCCCAATGCCTGGCAAGGCAAACCGGTGGACGTAGGGCACGTTGAGCCGCGGGTGCTCGGAGTCGATGACGTGCTGCTCGAGGGTGAAGGCTTGGGCGTCGCTGGGCAAGCAGCCGATGGGGAGGTAGAACCATGCCGAGGCAGCACGGGCGGCATCTCCCCTGGCATGCCGGCGAAGCACCTCCATGTATGGCTGCTGGGAGTCGCAGGAGGCGTTGAGGAAAGCGTCGATGTGCTTGCGGAGGCGTTCGCGGAAGTTGACCGTCTTGCCGACGTAGAAGTACGGGCGCCACGGGCTCCACATAATGTAGACGACGAACGATGCGTCGAGCAAGGACTCGGAGGGCGGCCGCGTGGACCGCAGGAGGGTGGTTGCAAGGATGCGGAGCCGGGCGTGGCGCTTGAACGTGGAGGCCATGAGGAAATGGGCAGCAAGACCAAAACCGGTGCTTTGCAGCGCAAAGATGCCGCCCCACTTGAGGGGTCCCGTGTCGGAGTAGAGCACGTACAGGTAGTCTTGAATGAGGCCGATGAGCGTGGAGACAACCAGGCGAATGTGCGGGGCCCGGGAGACACATGGCATCCCGTCACAAGGCACGTCCCAGATGCCGCCGGATGGACGGCCGCTGAGAGCGGCCGTAGTCAGTCATTGGCCGAGCTCGTCGCTGCGGGCCCAGACGGCCGCGACAAGCGTGACGACGTCCGTGAGGCGGGTGGCGTCGAACTTGACTCCCGTAGTCTCGACCGCCTTCTTGAAGGCTGCGCTGGCTTGTTGATTGGCTCTGCCCGGGGTCTTGGTGCGGCCGCCCGTGGATTGGGGGGTGAGCGCCTTGAGGGCGGTGTGGTAAGCCTTGAACTTGTTGCGGAGCTCCTGGGTGTCGTCGGACGTGACGTCAGTGTCCTCCAGGGCCCAGTCGAGGGACTTGGGTTGGCGGGCGTCGTGGAGCTTCGTGAAGGAGTAGCTCTGCAAGTCCTCCAGGGTGATGCTGACAGCGCCTGCCGCCGCGGCGTCTTGGGCAGCCGCGGCGGCGGGGCCCGGGGCCGCGGGGCCGGGGGGCCGCGCGAGGGCGCGGATGGACGCGGCAGGCAGGAGGGCGGCCTCTTGCGAGCCCTCTTGAGCCTCGATGATGGCCTGGCCGTCGTCGACCATGCTGGCTGCGACCTTGGAGATCATGTCTGGGAGGGCGTCCTTCTTCATCGTGTATGGGGAGTTCTGGGTGAGCCATGTGAGAAGAACATTGAAGTTGTACGTGTCGGCATCCATGGGGACCAGTGGCACGATCTTCTGGAAGTTCCAGCGGGCCTGGGACCTCATGACGTACGGGATGTACTCGCCTGGATTATCAGTGAGAGCTCTGCGCGTCTTGGCCGTGCAGAAAGCCTTGCAGCGACGCATCATCTCGGCATTGCATGCAATGCGGGCGTCCTTGAAGCGCGGGTCCTCCCAGGCGAGGTCTGGCTCAAAGCCAGGGGGAACGCCGTAGGCGACGTTGCGGGTGGTGAGGGGCACCTTATCCTCGTCGAACACCAGCTTCCGAAGGTCCTCGTGACCCAGCCCACGAATCGCGCGGCGAACCCCCTCCAAGGTGGAGCGGCCGTGGGTGGCGGGGCCTGGCAGAGAGCACTGCACGGCGTGGGGGCCCGCATACCCAGCTTGCTGCATGAGGCCGAGGAGCTGGCGCGCGACTGGACCGACGACTGCCTCGAGCACAGGCGTGGACTGAGGAGGCTGGCCAGCCAGAGGCGACGGTCCGCCGGGAGGCACCGGCGGGAAAGGGGCAGCCAGGGGCAGCAGTGGCGAGGCGGCTGGGACGGGAGCGTGCCCGCGGGCGTCGCGGGGGGCGTCGACGGTGCACTGCGACGGCGCCTGCGGGACACTGCGGCGACGGGGCCTGGAGCGGCCGTAGCGTCTTGGCGGGCTCCGGGAACGACCGCGGCGGCTGGTCGAGCGCCCAGCGCGCGCCTGGTAGTGGCGCGGGGGGCGCCCTGAGGACTCCGGAAGGCCGAGCGCGTCGGTGAGGGGCTCCGCCATGTCGAGCGCGGCGCAGTCTTTCCCGATGTGGTCGTGGCTGCCGCAGAAGGAGCAGAAGAGGCCCAGCGAGCGGCTGCGGGCGGCCATCGCGTGGCCACGGTCACGGAGGGTCCTGAAGCGGGATCCTGAGAAGGGCCACCTGAACCTGAACGCGCTGCGGGGTGGGGGCGGGGTGGGGGCCCAGGAAAGCGGGGGGGGGAAGGGGGCGGGCAGGGGGCCAGAGCGGGGACGGGGAAGAGAGGGGCGGGGGGACAGAGACTGAAGTCAAACGTAGATTTGTGGCCCCAAGGGGTCCTGGAGGTAGGTCTTCTCTATTGGTTGGCGGGGAGTGGGCACGACCGCATGAGTGCCACTACAGCACGGGTCGAACCATCACCCTAGGAGGGCGGCGAGAGGGACACGACCGCATGAGTGCCACTACAGCACGGGTCGAACCGTCACCCTTGGTGCACTGCTGGGGTGGCCCAAGTGCCAAAATGTAAAGGCTGACTGACATTGACAGGAACAATCAGCCGGCAGGGGAATAAATCCCGTTCACGGCCCAAAGGAGGATAGATGTGGTGGGTGGCAATTGGTGCCTGGAATGGCAGGTGGTGGCACGAATGCCTTGAGATGGAGGTACGGGTCACCCCCCCCTACGGCCGTCTTCGTTGGCCGAAGGACCGTGGGGGGGTCCTCGGCCCCCTCCGGTGCCTATTGACGGCAAAATGGAAGGTTGACTGGTGGGAGCGGGAACCCTCGCAACCCCATTGATGGAAGCTGCGAGGGGTGTGAGGTCTAATGACGGTCCTCACCGACGAGGCCTAATGACAGTCCTCGCCGAGGGGAGGGGCGAGAGGGAGGGGGCCACTCCGAGTGTCGATGCCGCCCGCGTTGCCTCTCACTCCTGAGGCGGGATTCCTGCAAATGGGGGCCCACAAACCAGCATGCACAGCTTCGACTCCGAGACTGTGTATACGCCACACCCCCCGGAACCTCCAGGACTAATTTTTCACTACATCGACGGACCAGTTTCTTGTCGGTCCCCCGGCGTTGCGTTTCAGCATCCGTTGGTGGCAAACCCAGAGGAGCCCGACGCAACGAAATTGTCACGAAATTCGGCTCCCGAATAAGCCGCAACCAAAATGCACGGAAGGACCGGTACACCGAAAATCATGTCCCCGGCAACCTCTCCGGGGACATCAATCGGCGCCCTAGGCAGAATCGGATTGTGTTTCATCCAACCACCAACTCGATCGATCGGCGTACCCCCTTGAATTCCCGATGCAACGGGAAAGGCCTGAGGCGGAGGGGGAGGGGGAGGGGGAGGGGGACAAGCTAGGTGCGCTCGCGTCATATCTGACGTCCTACCCCTCCCTCCCATCCCTTACCATGGCGCTGATTTTCTCTATCCGCGGACGCGTGTCGTAGCGGACCTGTGGCTCCGCGCGCGCGTGCGTAGTGGGTGGTGGTGCGCGTGCGTGCGTGCGTGCGTGTGTGCGTGGTTGTGGTGGTGGTGGTGGTGGTGGTGGTGGTGGTGGTGGTGGTGTGTGGTGGTGGTGTGGTGGTGGTGCGGCGCGGTGGTGGCGGGCGGATGGGCGCGCGAGAAAGAGGCCCGCGCTGGGGCGAGAACGCCATCCTGAACGACGGAGGCCAAACACCGATCCGAAAATGAGGCCCACGCTGCAGCGGGAGCACGATTCGGAACGATTCGGGAGCAGAAATGAGGCCGGCGCCTCAGCGAGAGCAGCATTTTGGAAAAAAAAACGCAGGCGAAAACCCAACTCCCGGGAATCCTGTGTGTAAAAAAAACAGTACGCGGGGGGGGGGGTCGACTACTTTCAAGCCGCCATCGGGGGAAGAGGAAGAGTAGTATCCATATTGAGTAATTGTGGAGGAGGAGGAGGGAGGAGGAGGAGGAGGAGGAGGAGGGAGGAGGAGAAGGAGGAGGAGGAGGAGGAGGAGAAGGAGGAGGAGGAGGAGGAGGAGGGGAGGGCGTGGATTAGCGACGTGTCCCGTTTCCATGGGAAATCGTGGAGTTCCGCCGCCGAGCGAGGCGGCGCCAGCCGCACTCTGGGGAGGGCACCTCCCCCGATACATGGACTTGGCGACCGCGCGCCCAATCCATGGATCGCTGATCCATGTTTGCGCGCACCCGAGTTTCGGGGGGCGTGCTCGCACGCCCCCAGAAGCTTTACGGCCTCGGGATGGCTTGCTGCAGCCGCGTCTCGCCGCGAGCTTTTGTTCGTGGTGCCCGATATCGTCCCGAACGGCCGCCGGAGGCTTGAGCTGTGACCCGGCATCCAGACCTCTTGCCGTGAAGAAAAAGCACGACGCCAGGTTTGCTGGCCTTTCCGGCTTCTGGCACTTGCGCAGCAGCCCGCGCCGTGCGCTAGGACGAGGATAAGTCTGCTCCAGAGCGTCCCAGAGTGCCCAGGCGCCCGAGACATGCTCTGGAGCCGCCGGAGCTTAGAGATTCTCGATGTTTCTCCTCACCCGATTTTTTTCTCGTCATAACTTCGTCTTGCACGGCAGCGGGCGGGCAGGATGACAGCTCCTTGCAAGACGTATCTAAAAACAATAGATGCTTTTAGATGCGATCGCGCCCTGGTGCAGGCGCGAAGCCTTTCCTATCTACTTTTCTGCAACAGCGCGACAAAATAGATACTATTTTTAGATGCGCGTCCCCGGCCTGCGCGGGAGTGCCACCAAATCTAAACGCATCCATGTTCAAGCATATATTAAATTGCGGGACCGTATGTATTTGTCTTCAAGCGGTTATATATACATATATATATATATATATATATGTAGTCGTATCTTTTTTTCAGAAAACAACAGTGCCGCGCCGTATCTATTCGTATTTAATGTGTGTCAGAACTGATGCTGTCGGCTTTGCTCTCGGAGCGAACAAGATCCATGATACTGGCCGAAGCAATGAGCAACAGGCTGGGGATAGTGGGAAGCCGTAGCGATGAGGCGTGAGGAGACGAGCGACGACGACAAAAACGACGAGGAGTAGGATGGACAACAACGACGACATGAAATTGAGGAGAGAACTGGGTAGGAACAGGGAGCCGTAGGATGGGAAGAGCAAAGAGGAGGAGTAGGAGGAGGAGGTGAAGGACGAGGACGAGGAGTATGCGTCACATCGAAAGTGAAGAGGGCGGTTCGGGGTGCGGGCCTGGAGGTTTTAGGATGCGTCAGGATTTGCCACTTCACTTCCTCCTCCTCTTCCTTCTCCCCATCCTCCTCACATCATCGTCGTCCTGACTGGCATGTGTATTGTCTTCCCTGTTCGTGGTCATTGAGCGGCCTAGGCCTGGCAGTGGAGATATGGCGCTGTATCTATTCGTATCTATTTGTAGTAGACATGTTTTCCAGCGATGGGCGCCTTATTGAACCGTATCTAAACATATCTAGACATATCTTATCGCATCTGAAAATAACCCCGCATCGGAACTTAGGAATAGAAACATGCCTCCCGTATCTAAAACTGGAAATCGTATCTAAACGTGTCTCGTTTGAAACATACCTATTCGTATCAAACTATCTTCATGACAGCGCTGTTTGATATGAAAAACACATGGTTCAGGGATGAAGTTTAGATGCCATGCGGCCCTTCCGAATGCAGCTGCCGCTGGGGGAATGAGCAACCAAGATCGATTTTTACATGTGTCTTCCAGGGCCTAGGCAAGCGGGCGGGCGGGCTCTAATGGGCGCGGCGCCGCAGAGTGGCGACGCGGCACCGGGGTCCTGGGGCCTTCTTGACCTGTCTGGGGGGAATTCATGCGGGAACATTTCCCAGAGCCCAGGGGGCACGCGGGAAACCCTTGTAAGTTTGAGAATTTGGGGTCCGGGCTCCTTTTAAAGATTCCTCTGGACTAAGGACTGAGGCTCCAGGGATTGGACAAAGGACCTGAGGACACGCCCTCTCCGTGCCCAGAGGCACGGTGACGGATTGAGTGGCATAACCCCTTCCCTGTTGCGCGAAGCGCGCCAGGGGCGGCGCCGGAGGCGCCGCCAAGCGGGTTCAGCGCCAATCCGCGAAGTCTGCGCGGACCGCTGAAAGTTTATGTTTGCACTGTCGTTTCCTCGTCTTCTGTCGGCGGTGAAATCCCAACCCTACCCCCGCCTCCCATCCATTCAGGAGAACCGATGGTTGGAGCGGGGATAGGATTCGGATGTCGCCAACTATTCCTCTTCTCCTTTTAAAAAAATGTTGCCAATACACATTAACAGTACTATTATTATTGTTGCTGTTGTTGTTGTTTTTGTTGTTGTTGATGTTGTTGTTGTTGTTGTGATTGTGATTGTGGTTGTGGTTGTTGTTGTTGCTGCTGCTGTTGTTGTTGTTGCTGTTGTTGAACTTCGACTACTGAAGAATAACTATTGTTGATCCCTCCCCTCCAGTGACCATTGTGTTTTTTTCAATTGAAGTGCTTCCCCGGGTACTCGCACCCTGTTTTTTTATAAGGGAAGGTCACGTGGCTGAAACTGGGCTCCTGGCCCACGGTTTACAACAACTGCAACAACGGTTCCCGCCTGATACTTCCCCACAATGTATTCCAACATCGCGATCTCGCGCGGGACTTCCCCCCAAATAATGTACGCACCGCGCTCTCGCGTGAGACTTCCTCGCAACTTATTTAGACGATGCGCCCTCGGCGCTCCGGAATCCCGCTCTCTTTTTGTTTTTTCTCACGATTTACTTGGGAATCGCGTTATCGCTCGAGACTTCCTCGCCATTTATGCAGGGCCCACGCTTCAGCAACCCGCCTTCTCGACCTCGTCGCCTGGGCCCGCCTTCCCGAACTGCCCGCTATGGTTCTGCCCACCCGATCTGCCCGTCTGGTTCTACCACTTGTTTTTTGCCCCCCTCCTGCTAATTTCTCTCGTGCTCCACTCTTCCTCCCCCTTCCACCCGTCCTCTCCTCACTTGTTTTAGGGGTGGCACTACATGCGTGTGGCAGGTAAGGAAGGTATACCCCCAAGGGGGTACGATCGAAGACGACAAGGGCGGGTACCGAAGCTTTGGCAGATACGTATTGATTGACACGTGAGCAGAGAGGAGCGAACAGTCTTAACCTGATTGTTGTTGTTGATGTGGTTGTTATCATTATCATCATCAATGATGTTCTTATTGTTATTCGTATCATTAGTGTTAGAATTATTATGATTATCACGAGTATGTTTATTCTTGTTGCTATGGTGATTATTATTATTCTTCTTAGTAGTATTATTATTAGTATTATTATTATCATTATTATCATACTTAACAGTATTAGAACCATTAGTATTCGTATTATTATTAGGTTGATTACTGACTTTCGTCGTATTAGTAGCATTATTGCACTACTGGTGCTACTAGTCTTATACCCTCCTCCTTGTTCTTCTCCTTCTGCAGAACTTGGACTGCTGCAGTGTAGGAAAGACTGGGCGGGCGCGGCGTGCGGCCCCATCCGAGGCGCGGGCCAACGCGCGTCCCGACAGCCGCCCCGCCGGCGGAGACGGCCCCCTGCAGTTGAACGTCCCTAGCGGCCCCGAGTCCTGCTCCGACGACGAGGACGAGGACCGGGGGCCAGGCTCCTCATTCTCCTCCTCCTCCTCCTCCTCCTCCTCCTCCTCCTCTTCCTCCTCCTCCTCCTCCTCCTCCTCCTCCTCCTCCTCCTCCTCCCTCCTCCTCCTCTGGTCTCGTCTCTCCCCCCTCCTCCTCCTCCTCCTCCTCTACTCGTGCTCGTCCTCTCCTCTCCTCTCCTCCTCCTCCTCCTCTCCTTTTCCTCCTCCTCCTCCTCCTCTCTCGTGCTCCTCCTGGTCCTCGTGCTCGTCCTCTCCTCTCCTCCTCCTCCTCCTCCTCCTCCTCCTCCTCCTCCTCCTCCTCCTGATCCTGATCCTGATCCTCCTCCTCCTCCTCCTCCTCCTCCTCCTCCTCCTCCTCCTCCTCCTTTTTTTCCTCCTCCCCCTCCTCCTCTTGATCCGAAGAGGGTGTTCCGCTGCTGGCGGAAAACCGGGGGGGGTCACTACGGTTCAACCGCTCCCCCCCCCCCTCGCGAAACCCGGGGGGGGTCACTACCGGTTCGAACCCTCCCCCCCCCCCCAGTCCATCATGAAAAGGGGGGGGTCACTACCGGTTCGAACCCCCCGCCCCCTCGAAAACCGGGAGGGGTCATTACCGGTTCGAACCCCCCCCCACCTCGAAAACCGGGGGGGAGTGCGGACCGTGGTGGGGACGGTGGTGGTGGGGACAGTGGTGAGGGGACAGCGGGACAGTGGTGGGGACAGTGGGACAGTGGTGGGGACGGTAGTGGTGGGGACAGTGGTGAGGACAATGGTGGGAACAGTGGGGACAGTGGGACAGTGGTGGGGACGGTGGTGGTGGGGACAGTGGTGTGGGGACAGTGGGAATGTGGTGGAAACAGTGGGACAGTGGAGGGTACAGTGGTGGTGGGGACAGTGGTGAAGGCGGTTGGCGAGGACGGCGGTGGGACAATGGGACAGAGGTACAGTGGGGACAGTGGTGGGGACAGTGGGGACAGTGGTGGGAACAGTGGGACAGCTCAGTGGGACAGCGGAGGAGTCAGTGGGACAGTGGGGACAGTGGGGATAGTCGGGCAGTGGTTGGGGCCGTGGAGAAAGTGGGGAGAGTGGAACCGTGGTGGGAACAGTGGTGGAGACAGTGGGGACAGTGCGACAGTGGTGGGGGCACTGGTGGGGACAGTAGGGACGGTGGTGGAACCAGTGGGGACAGTGGTGGTGAGGACAGTGGTGCTGGGAACAACAGTGGGGGATGTGATGCGGACGGTGGTAGGGACCGGGAG